TTAACAAAACGGAGGAAAGGTTTGCAAAAATTAAGGAGTAACAAACGGAGTTGGGCAAAATGCGCACCTCCGTGGAGGGTAATGGAAGCACCAAAAAAACCGAGAAAGTCCCCATGATTTCCTTATTCTTCGTAAATTCGCGCGAGCAGAGCTCGGAAGAAGTGAGATTGGGCCTTGAGAATGATTGAGAAGTCTTCAAGTCTTTCGTCTACAAGAGTAGGCTCAAGGTTTCCGATCACAAAAAATATCCAGATTGACTTTACAGAATGGCATAGACAATGGTAGACTTCATGCAACGGTTATTTAGTGTACACAATCCAAGTAAGGTCTACACAGATATATAGCAAGAAGAGCATACCTAACTCGTCAGTCTCGTATAGATCGACTATGACGCCTCGGAACGCATTGGATAGTGAGTCTAGAAACTCTTCCCTGTAGCCGCTGCCAGTGGCCTGAACGGCATCACCCACAAGTTTTAGTAGACCCGATAGATCTTCTTTGATCTTCACCTTGGACGAAAACAGAGTACAAGAAAAATGATAAGTCATGTATTAATAGAAAAAAGTGATTCCATGCATGTAGGCATCACGTTGAACACCAACGCAGGGTGACTCGCGTAGTTTTTTACTATAGCAAATTAGGTCAGCCGGAAGCACGTGCACAATAGTTTAAAATTCCTCATAAGAGGTGTAATATAGTGAATCAGTTGATCGATTACCAATGCACCGCATAGCAAAGCAGATTCAGACGCATGAATTATGCATAAAAGAGATCTCGAACCAAAAGGAGTTAGTCGTTTTGCATAAGAGGTAAGGAATACCTGAACAAGGCACAAAGAGGTGAGGATGACAGCAAGTTCGGTGACGTAGCCCTTGCTGGCCTTGTGTTGCACTGCCAACGACGCCAGCTGAGGACCTAAAATTGAAGGATCAACTATTTAAGACCATAGATTCGTTAAATTACCATTTACACTATCAAAGTGTAGACTGATAGCGAAGAAGAGCTGAAGGGAGACCCACCAGCTGAGTGCAAGAGACAAGCGACATTCTCAGCCAGCCAACCATCAGGAGTGTTGGTGATCTCCTGCAAAACAGCAACGGTATCACTGGCTGACCAGTGACCGGAGAGCCAAAGGCTATTGAGAACCCGTCCTAATTCACCGAAACATGCAGATAACTGCTTCAAGTCAGCCGCTGTGTTCTCGCACATTATGTTCCACATTAGGCGTGCTAATGATGCAGAGCATACAAAAAAGGCAGTGTAAAATAAGCAAGTAGGGTACAGGTAAGACAGATCGTTAATAATCACCATTAGAACCAGTAAATATACCCTTATGAACTGGCCCATAGAGAATGAAAAGTAGACGAGCCTGATGAACGAAGGGATAGGACTGAAGAATGTTGGCAAGAATGCCCGCAGTTGGCCAGACACTCGGAAGGCCATTGATCAAGCTGTCCCTACTTTTATTGACACCGCTCGTAGACTTAATTAAGGATGCTGATGTTATCAGACTCGAGGCCGGACGTTGACTCCGAAGGAGAGCTGAATTAAAGCTATAAGATACAAGGGAAATTGTAGCATCCCGAGACTTCTCACCGAATGGAAGAAGGCAGTAAGCGAAACTGGACACATGTATTCCAAATAGGAAAAAGCAACCGGGCCTGATTATGACCCGAAGGCCAGTCTACATGTACAAGAGCCAGACAAATCCCAAAGTGACCGCCAAACGCCAGGTGGTCACATAACCAAAGCATTACAGAGACGTTGGTGAAATGCATGCGTATGCACAAAAGCTCCCCATCTCACAGCACAGTTGGGCTCAAAATAAGAGGCGTTTGCGAGTTACGCATTATGTATGAACCGAAGTCCATCAAATACTGCTATTCATATACATATATATGTCGTACTTACTTATCGTCGGAAGAGGAGATACTAGAAGACGACACGTAGCAGGAACTGAGCAGATCGGCAGTACTTGAAAAACAAGAGCTACTTTTTGAACTAGATACTGAAGAGTTGGTGTTACTAAGATCTGCCCATGCTGGACCCAGGTTAAGTGGGGAACTGATGGGATCGAGAAATATTCGACGTAGAAAAAGTCGAACACCTAACTCTTCGTCGGGACATTCATCTGGAGAAAAGGATAAAATTGAAAAATTCCAGAAATGACATTAATTTACCAAAATGTTTGTACAGTTAAATTGTCAAACAACGGAATTCCATAAAAATGCAAACCAACCTGGTTTCTTGCATAGTAAGTTAGTCAACTTCAA